GTGCAGGTTAATAGGCTGCTCCCACAACAATGTCAAAAGTGTATTTCCTTCTGTTCTTACTTTTGACTATCATTTTTCCTTCTTCAAACTGAGTGTGTGTGCACATTTCCCAAGATAATTCTCCTTTCTAGTAGCCAGCCTGTGCTAGCTAATACGACTACCACAGAAGGCACAAAACCAAGGCTGAGTCGGGGGACAGAGCACAGGCAGTGTGCTACCATTTAAGGAGGTCTGGTCTGGTCTAAAGACCAGCAGGGCTGGGCTGCAGCTCAGTAGTACGACTTGCTTAGCATTTGTAAGGCCTGCGTTCTATCCCCAGGACTGCTTAAAACAAATACAAAAAAAAGAGAAAGTCACTCACACAAAGCAACAGGAGTGTATGTAAACACAGCACACGCTCACTGAGACACAGCAAGAGTAGAAACATCACCTGGATGCCACCAACTCAGAACAAGGCACAAGACTGCAGGTGTGTCAGACACCAGCGGCTAACACCTATACTCCTAGCTACTCAGGAGGCAGAGATCAGGAGGATCGAAGTTCAGAGCCAGCCCCGGGAAAATAGTTCAAGAGATCCTATCTCAAAAACAAAACAAAACAAAGCAAAACAAAATATCACAACAAAGAGAGTCTGCCTAGCAAACCTAAGGCCCTGAGTTTGAACCCCAGAGCTGCCAAAAAATAAAAAATAAAAAAAGGCCTCAGGTGTCCAGGACTGAACCACCCACAAATAATTAACATGCATCCACAACTTGCTTCAAGAGGTGAACTTGTGCTGTATGAGCCTTGCTTTCAGACTGGCTCTGCTCTCAAATGAACACTCATTTAATGTGAATATTCAAGGCTCTGAGTGGAACAAAATGCACCACAAATAAATCCAAAATTTAGTTTAAAATGAAGTCAAAAGAAAATGAGTGTGGCTCCTGGATGAGTATAAATGAGTATCACACAATGAGGGCTCAAAGGGAACCAGGCAGGCAGCAGGGCAGTGTGTTATCTGTCCAGGCCCCTTTAGGCTCTCAACTCATGTCCTGCTGGGGAGGGCTTGTCCTGGAGCTGGTGTCCCCACTTCAGACTGGCCAGCTTTTTCTTTATCCAAATGCAGAGGCGAGACCTGTTCATTACCAGGCACCAGGGGCTCATGCCTGTAATCTTAGCCACCCAGGAGGCAGAGATTAGGAGGATAGCGGTTTGAGGAGGCAGCCCAGGGAAATAATTCGAGATCTGATCTCAGAAAAAAAAGGGTTGGCAGAATGGCTCAAGCAGTAAGAGCGCCTATCTAGTAAGCATGAGGCCCTGAGTTCAAACCCCAGTATCACCAAAAATAAAAAAAGTAAAGAAAAAGATCCTGCCAGCTCTGACTTTCTCTGCCCTTTCCTGGCAATTCCCCGGGGGCCACTTGCTATCATTGCATCCTCTCCTTTCTCTCATCAGATGGTTACCAGGACCCTGTCTTCCTGACCAGGCCATCATGACACATGTAATTGATGGAGAAGAGTCACCTGTGAGAACGGGGCCTCCTCAGCAGCAGGAGGCCCAGCCAGAGGGAACTCTCCCAGGGCTCACAGGAAACTCTTTAGACCTGCTGGTTCTCTTGGACCTGGTATTTCCATCATTGCCTTTGGCTGGATGAAAATGAACTCGAGGGCTCACACAGCAGGCATGGGAAGGGGCCTGGCAACCAGCATTTCTACCAAGGCCCCTACGGTGCCATGCTGCTCATCCTCAGACCATATTCCAAGTACTATTGCACTTGCCCACCAATCTTCAGTTCTGTCCAAGCAGCTGGGGAGCTTTCGAAAAATGCAGATTTCAGGGTTCCAACCCCAGAAGAGCTCAACATGACAGTTGAGGGGAGGACCGAGAGCAGCCTTGTATGCCAGTGATCAGACTGAATCCTGGCTACTGTCCTAAGTCCCAGAAAAAAAGTCAATAACCCTCTGTCTCCATGGGTTGTTAGAGGCCAACCTGAGCTTTCTTGTGAAACAAATCACAGCCTTCAGAAGCCTGGTCCTTCCCAAGGGTCCCTGCTACCCTGTGACTCACAGGAGGAAATAGTCTTCTGCTGGATAGGACAAGGGCTGGACAGCACTACCTTGAAGTGTCTGCTTAAAAAGTCCCCAAGAGGGAGTCCTACCCCCATCCACCCCTCCCACTCACAGTCAAGAGCAGGGAATTTTTTTGTTTTGAGACAAAGTTTTACTACATAGACCAGGCTGGCCTGGAACTTGCTAGGTAGTCCAGGCTTGTCTCAAACTTATGATCCTCCTGCCTCTGCCTCCCAAGTTCTGGGATAACAGGTGTGTGCTACCTTGTTCAGCTGGGAACATCTGTCACTTCATTCCCTCCAGGGCTACTTTCCAACAGGGAAGCAAGGCAGGTTCTTTGGGAAAATGTTTGTGAACACCTCTTCGCAAGACTAAGTGACATGTTTCTGCTGTAGTGCTGGGTGGAAGGGGAAAAGGCAGGATAAGCAACTGTATATATGGCACGTCCACAATGGCACAAAACAAAACCTATTCACTGGACGCCCAAGAGGAAGCACTAAACGAGGCCGGGCGATTGTCTCTGGGGGGTGGGCTCATGGGTGGTGCTGCTTAATCACCACTTGTTTTCCAAGCTGTTTATAAAGAGCATGTACTACCTCTATCGTGAGAACTGGACTTTGGCTTGCCAGAGATCAGAAGAGAAAACATTCAGCACAATGCTGTGCACAGGTAATGAAGGTGTCACCCCAAACACATGCACCTTGGCCGCTCTCTGCAGGCAAGCAGCTCTGGGAGGTGGAGACCATTCGATGGCCACCAGCAAGGGCACCCCATAAGTGTCTATGCACCCCCTGCTCCAAGGCAGAACAGACTCCAGCCCCACCCCTGAAGAGGAGAGGGCAGAGGGAAGGGAACAGGATGCAGGTTCCCTGCCCTACCTCTCAGGCTAGAGGCCTGAGACTGGACTGGCCAGGGCTTCCTTGTGTGACCATTTCCCACTTTCTGGAACTCTACGCACAACCCCAAGAGCAGCAAAATGCCTCTTAAATAGACACTACTTAGAGTAGGTACTGAGCACTGGGGCCCAGCCCAGACTAGGAACCTGAGAGTTGACCAAGACCCCTAGGCCACCTGTGCCTGAAAACAGCATCTTCATAGCTACATAGTGACAGCCTGACTGCTCCACAACTCATTAAGAGTCACAGAAACATCACCTCATCTGAGACCTCCTTGCTGCTAGCTGGGAGAAATTTCTGCCTCCCAACCACTCCTGGAGTGGGAAACATATCTATGCACTGTGCCGCTGGCTCTGACTGGCCACTTAGAGCTCTTTTTCTCTCTGTGCTCACAGCCTGCACAAAGTTTTGATTTAGCTGAAATGTGATACATGGGCCTTCACCGTCAGTAACTGAGACAGGGGCAGTACTCTCTCAGGCCGACATGCCTGGCTCTACCCAGACCTGTCCCCTCCTCTCCTTCCTATGACCCTCCAAACCTGGAAACTCAATTAGCCACACGATTCCACTCAGGTGTCACCTCCTCCAAGAAGCCTTCCCTATCTTGCCCAAGAGGTAAGCGGCCTCATCTCTTGAACCCTTAGTACCACCTGCTTCTTCTGGCACTTGGCACATGGCCCTGAGAACACCTGCATACCCATGAATGGCACCTGTAGACAGGGGCTTTCCCTAAGCACCTGCTGAACAGCCAGAGCAGCCTCAGACCCCTCATCACAGATACCAAGTTCATGGGTTGCACTATCACCATTTGACTGGCAGTCACAAGAAGGCACTAGCTAAAATGTCCCTATCTACTGCATGCCCGGCCCTGAGTATGGCTCCCATTAGATAAGCTGACTTTCTTGTGGCTGCTAGGCCAGCTGTCCTAGGCTTCTCTCTGAGCCCCAGCCTCCTCTCAGACATCTGTAACTAAAGGGATGGGGCCAACCTGGAACCTCCAGGAGGTGATGCTCAGAGCTCACAGAACCACTCTGTACACTGTGCCCAGGTCACTCACCAGCCCCCATGGGAGGAGAGTCAAAACAAGCATTACAGAACAAGGAAGCACTGCCCACACTCTCCCTCTCCCACCCTGCTTCAAATCTGGGTTGACAGAGCAGCTCAGGCTCTGGCAGCACCCACAGCCCTCATCATAAGTCCAAGTCACCGCACCCGCTACCTAACAGCCAGCCCAGCAGTGTCTCAGCTGACTCCAGAGCCAGCACTCCGGGCGCAGGGCAAAAGCAGAGGCCTCAGACCCTCAGTTAACAGCCCAGAATAGGACTTGGAGGAGAGACTGGGCACCAAACCCCAGAGTATGGATCTGGAAAGGACTTATTCTTTAGTGGTGGTTCCTCAACTTGTTTCCCAGGGTCCTGGAGGGAGAAGAGGTCCCAAGGCAATCAAAGAGACAGTGGCTTCCCCTGGAGTCTCAAGAAAACTCACATGAGAAAAGTTTCCCTGCTAACAAAAGGCTTGAAAACTGGGGCTCCAAGGTCCACAGGTGCAGCCCGTTGCCAGCCATGCTGCCATACAGAGATCACACACACTTTCCCAAGCCAGGACAGGGTTTTGAACCAGCCTTTCCCCCAGGCCTGTTAGCCTAACCCATCAAGCACACCTTGATCAGAAGCAGTGGACATGGGAAGTGGACTCTCCACACCACAAGCCCAGGGCTCCTACTAGCAACCGAGAGGCATGCTGGTTCCCCTGGGCAGCCCTTCTATCCCTCTACTCAAGTGGCTCTTGTACAAGAGACACTGAGCCAGGAACGTAGATGATAAGCCCCGTCCAGTGAGTCCTGTTGACATGTGGGTCCTGGGTTGCAAACCCAGACCCTCCTAGCATGTGACCCAAACCTATCTTCAATGCAACAGCTCACACTTACATGCACCAAGGGTCAGCAGGCAGCTGCCTGAGTGTGCACACCGTTTCCTCTCGGCTTTCTTCAGGAAAGCACTGAGTGGCCGTGCTGCAGACACAGCCCGGAACTCCCGGAATGGCAGAACTGCCTTACCTGATAGTAGGTCTTAATGCTTCTCACCAAGATGGTCAGGTTCTGAATTCGGAGGTTCACGTCATTGTTTACATGCTTGTTGATGCGCTGATTGGTTGGCCTGGGATCTCTGAGAGAAGAAACAGAGGAGGAGAAATGACACCTCCCAACTTTGCCACGCCATGCCCAGCCTCCACCAGCCAGGCAGTACTCTACTCCCCGAAGCCTCATTAATTCCTCCATGGCACTGTGGTTCAAGCCCAATCCTAATTCTGCCACTGCCATGCTGGGACCCTGGGTGAGTCAATCACCTTTCTGCTGCCCCACCGGGCACCTGCTCACCTCAGCCCTTATCAATGCTGCTTCTGGTCCCACTTGTTGACGGCATCCATGAAGGACAGCCACAAGGCAGTGCAGACCCAAATGTCACATGGCATAAAAACCAACAATCTCACCCAAACTGTGCTTCAAGATTAAAAGCTGAGCAAAACAAAATATGTAAAATATCAAGAACAACAGAAAACAGAGGACAATGGTCCATTTTCTGACATAATGAAATCACAATGCACTTAGCATGCACGGGTTTCCCTCTGTCATCTGAATTGGTGGTCCTGCCTGATTTATATTCCAGGGACACAAATTGATCTTGAAAACCTGACATGCTCAGCTTATGACACTAAATGGCGTACAACGCACCCTATAAGAGATGCTGAGACACACAGATCATTCGTGTGGGAAACCCCCCAAGCGTCATTCATTTTCCAACCTCAGACAAAACTCAGGTCGGGCAGAGATGAAACTAGAGGGCTACATCAAGTGATTGACAATTTCACTCATCTACATGCAGGGCATTTCTCAAACCCCTTTGTGCAGGAAAGGGTTGGAGGAGAACTGAAACAAAGGCCTCCCTTCCATCCACTGTCCAAAGACACCTGGAAGGATGAAGGCAAAGAAAACTCAAAGACCTGTCTTCAATGCCTTCATCCACACCCTGAGATAAAGGTGCAGAGCCTCCTGGGGGCTGGTGTGGGGGAGATAAGGAAATACATCTCATTGCCATTTGGTTCATGCAAAGCCAACAACAGAAAAATTGAGAAGTAGAAGAAAAAAAAAAGAACCTTCTCATTGAATCAGTCACTGAAGAACAATGCTTTTTCTTTAACACCAGCTGTCTAAAGTTCAACCTGTAAGTAAATATTTGACATATACACTGTGAGTCTCCATACTTTTTTCATGCAGTAGTCAGCACAGACTTTGTCATCCTATAGCCCCTAAAATAGTCACATGGGTCCCTTGGGGCCACCAGAGGACCTCTTCAATTGTCAGGTGACAATATCTCCTATTGTCCCCACACAATAATAGAGTCTGGCCAAGCCATTTTAACGTGTTAGTGTTTCTCTTGGAGCCATTCATTCATTACTGAGAAAATAAAGATTTACGGTTCCATTAAAATTAATTTAGGAAAAGAGATGGCATTTAGAATTTAAACCACAAGGGCATTTTTAGCTGGAGAAACATTCCCAGCATTACAAAATAATTTCTCTTAAAGGTACAATTCTCCTCCCTTGACTGTCTATAGCTGCCTTAAGAGGTGAGACCCAATTTCACAGTGACAGATACACGGCATAATTCAGGAGTTAGAAAACACACAGGGCTTGTGTTTTATTGGGATTTGTTTTATTTTGCTGTGGTGCTGAGACTGAACCCAGGTTTATGCATGCCAGGCAAGCACTCTACCACTGAGCTCCATCACCAGCCCAGGCTGGCCTCATGGTCCCTCTGCCTCAGCCTCTCAAGCACTGAGCTTACAGGACTGTGTCAGCATGCCCCAATTCCATTTTATTTTTATTGCAGCCCTAGATTTCCTTTAAGTCAGATGGGGCCACCCCAGGAGTCTAAAGCCTCGGTATACACTGAAGATGGGCACACTGTGCAAAGACACAGCACACACCCAGAGCCCGGGACCCGGGAGTCCCTCATAGCACATCAGGGCTGCCTCTGACCATCCCTGCTTTTATTCTCCCATTTTGGAAAGAATAAGCTAACTGAAGCAACACTCCAAAAGAACCTTGACATTTGCTGCATGACTAATTAGACTAATTATTGTGATCATTAGTACTCCTTCAATTAACTAAGGCTCTCTGGTAAAGAGAGGTTATTAGGAAACAAGTCAAAACAAAAGTCTCAACCTTGCTTAAGGAAGCAGATCTCACTTCCACCTGCCTACCTTTCACCAAATGCTGCAGGAAATGGGAACGAGAGGCACAGATTTTAGCCCAGGTTCCAGAACTGGCTTTAGTGCTCTGGACCTCAGTGTGCACATCTGCAAAATGGATACAAGACTTTTCCAGCCCTGAAAAGCAATCATTCTTATTAAGCTTTGTTAGAAACTTGGGACTAGACTTGGTTCTGTATGCCGGGAAAACGTAATGATTCCCATCTTCCCATCTTACAAGTGCATAAGCTGTCATTGAGAACAGAGATCTTGCTGGGGGGGGGGGCTCACCCCTGTAATCCTAGCTAGCAAAAAGTTCACAAGACCCCATCAACAAAATAACCAGAGCAAAATCAACTAGAGGTGTGGCTCAAGAGGTAAAGCGTCTGCTTTGCAAGCATGAAGCCCTGAGTTCAAATCCCAATTCCACCAAATAAATAAATAACATAAAATGGGTTGGTGGAGCCAGGTGCCAGTGGTTCACACTTGTAATCCTAGCTACCTGGGAGACTAAGATCGGGAAGGTCACAATTCAAGGCTAGCCCAGGCAAAGAGTTTGTGAAACCCATCCCTAAAAATAACCAGAGCAAAATGGACTGGGGTTGTGGCTCAAGCAGTAGAGCACCTGCTTTGCAAGTACAAAACCCTGAGTTCAAAGAGGCTCAAGTGCTACAGTGCCTGCCTAGCAAGTGGGAAGCCCTGAGTTCAACCCCAAGTACCACAAAAAAAAACAAACAAAAATCAGATACGTTAACATGTACCACTACCATGTGCAAAACCTGGAAGGAACCAAATTGTTAATACTGCTACCTTTACATCACAAAATTAGAAACAATTTTTATTTTGCTCACCTATATGTTCCTATTCTCCTATGATGACCCTAAATTTTTTTGTGTAATTTTTAAGGACTCAAAGCTCCTTAAAAATGACGAGTCCTATGCTACAGGCAGGAAAGAAAATTACTAGTCTGGAGATACAGCTCAGAGAGAGACTGCTTTGCCAGCATGTATAAGGCCCTGAGTTCAATCCCCAGCACACACAAAAAATACCAAAAAGGAAATGACAAGTTCCCAAGGAAAAACCCTTTTGTTTCAACATTTTTGCATCAACATCAACTCATTTGACCAACACATATTTGCCTTTTTATCCTCAGCTTCTATGTCTCCAAGATGGGAATTTAAACTCTTCTTGGCACAGACATTGTGGGGAAGAAATTATCCTTCAAATGCTTTTTGGAAGCTGAAGAAACTCTCCTGTTGGCCTGATGCTGCTGCTAACCTCTGAGTCATTAATGCGTTACCCTGAATTTTGCAGATAGGAAACAGCAGGGTCAGAAAGGAGCCTGAAGAAACAAAAGAGTTGCATTCACCACCAGCCCTGCAAGGACACAGGTCCCAGCAGGAATCCCCAGCTGCACTACACAGCCATCACGTCAAATCGATTGGTGGCTCCTCTCATAGGTGCTGATGCACGAGGAGGATGCACACAGGCAGGAATTCCAGCACGGTTGCACTGCACACAAGCTCCAGACCTTGCTTGGACCACAATAATGACTGATGTTTGTCGAACATTTTCTATATGCCTTATCTTAGTCTTCCCCAAATCTATAAAATGCCACCCCCTTACTACACATCAGGAAATTGAGGCTTGGAGAACATAACAGAACTAGGTAAGTCACAGAGTAAGGATATGAGCTTGTCTGACACTGGCCTCCAGGCTCTTAAATATTTCCAAAGTTCAGAGGTTCTCAGCTGTGGTGATGCCCAGAGCAGCTGCACACAGAGGACTTCTTCAGCAGGCTCTCCCAGGCCCCTCAAAGTCACTCTCTCATTCAGGAATTCTAGACCTGGGCCTCCCCTGAAAGCTGAGCCCACAGGACTTTCCTGTTTCTAGAAGAGGGTGATGTCACCAGGAGGCCAGGGCCAAGAAACTCCTATACTACTACAGCCTTCTATGGTTGCCAAAGACAATGGCCAGGTGTAGTCACGTGACCCTAGCCAGCCTCCAGATGGCTCTGGGGTGTTAGGTAACAGCCTCTTATCTGAGGCCAGGTAACACTGCTCTGTAATTTCCTTGGGCCCGTGCCTACCACCTCTGGGAGAATTTATCAAAATAGAGCAGCAGCATACAGTCTCTGGACACCCAGCGGGAGATAACGTCCAACAGCCTGATCATGCATCTGTAAGTTAGCCTGCCACTGCTCCACTGGGCAGAGGGGAAACTGAGGCCCAGCTGAAGTACTGTCAGATGCAGGGCTGAGACTTGGGCTCAGGGCCCAGTGTTGCCTCTCACTGGGAAAGAGCTATGGCTGAGAATTACACAGTAATTTAGGGACTAGGTATGTGGGACAAAGACAGACTGGGGGGAGAAAAAAAAAAAGAACAAGCTGGGTGTCAATGGCTCATGCCTGCAAACCTAGCTACTCAGAAGGCAGAGATCAGGAGTATCTGGGTTCAAAGCCAGCTCCAGGCAAAGAGTTTGAAAAACCCGATCTCAAAAAAAAAAAAAAAAAAAAAAAAAAAATCACAGAGAAAGGCTGATAGAGTGCCTGTTTTAGCATGCGTGAGGGCCTGACTTCAAACCCCAGTGCTGCCAAAAAAAAAAAAAAAACCTCTTCTGGGAGCCTCAAATCCTTTCATTACCGTGGCACCTGCATAAGTGAATACCTGATTCCAACACCTGTTCAGCGGCACACACTGACTTAAATACTTAGCACATCATGTCATTTAACTCCCTTAACTATCTCTTAAGGGAAAATCTTCACTTCCCATTTTGCAGATGAAGAAACTGAGGCACAGAGTGATGCACCCAGTGTCACGCTGCTTGTGCTAATAGCAGGAGAGGCCAAGCAGGCTCTCCAATGCTGAGATCAGGATTCTTTTATTTACTTATCTTTTTGTGGTGCTGGGGATAGTACCCTAGCCCTTGCATATATGCTAGGGGCGCACTCTGCCAATGAGATGTACCCCAAGTCTCTGTTTTTTTTTTTTTTTTTTTTGATTTTTTTGTTTTAAAGAGCCTTACTAGTAATAACTTAGGGGTTCTTTCTCTCCTTAACATTCTAATTCTTTTTTTTTTTTGTATGTGGTAATTATAGCTAACATTTTTATTTTTTTTATTTTATTTTTTTTTATTTTTTATTTTTTTTCTTTTATTATTCATATGTGCATACAAGGCTTGGTTCATTTCTCCCCCTGCCCCCACCCCCTTCTGTTTTTTTAACTGAGGTAACTTTTACAAAGAGTGAAATGCGTGCACCTGACGTTCCAACTTGAGGAGTTTCAGAAACTGAAACATACTCCACAGAACGTGTCACCAGCCTCCAGAAGTCCCAGTGCCCCCTCTGCAGTCACTCCTCAGCCACTTCCAAAAGGAAACACTGTTCTGCCTCCAGTTACCTAGAGCTGGGTATTCTGGTCCCCCCAAAAGCAGGAACCCATGTTGCTGAAGGTGGTCCTGGGAGCCACCCACTTTCTTCTCTTGCTGCAAACGTCCCAGTTCCCACTTCCAGAATGATCCCTTGGCTTATCACAAAGGAGAAAATAACATTTGAAACTGCCAGAGAGCGGAGCAGCCCTTCAACCTAATGTAGCCAGCCACAGGCTAAATGCAAACAAGTGATGAGCTGGCATTTCTCAAAGGAAAGGTCCAGCGGGCTTCCCTGATTTACAAGCAAGTGGTAACCGCTTCAGGAATTCCAAAGGTCAGAAAAGAAAGAGAAATAGCCCGGGGCTTTTGTTCTCCCGAGCCTGGGTGTAAAAGCTGAATGAAAAGACTGGTACACTGTTGGCTTTTTAAATTAAACAGTCTCAGGCTTGGGTAGGGACAGGTTGAACTTTCACTGCTCCTTGAACCCACGGAACCCACTAACTTTAGGGGGTTACCAGAATGGGGGGAGAGCTCAAATCCACCAGAGGTGGCCCCAGGAAAACTCAGCTTCATCAGAGGTCCTGAGAAGGATCACCAAAGTCAACAACAGATTTGCCTTTTGAGAATCTAGTCAGTGAAGACGGCTAGATTAAAAAACAACAATAAGAAGGTCATTAAGATGGCAGGGTCTCTCTCACCACATGACAGCAAATGACTTATGAACACAAAAGGAGCCAGGTAATTGGGAAATTTTTTTAAAAACAGACTTGTTCAGGTAGAATCTATTTTAAACCATTTTTGGATATGACAAAGTACACCTCCTCCTGCTGCCAACAACAGCAGCTCATTTTCCTTTGCTGGTGGACTGATGCTCACCTAAGACAACCTGCTTGTCCTAGGCGAGGAAATTAACTTAAGGGCTGATCCAGAAAACATCAGGATGTTTTATTTTGCTTCAAGTGCCTGTGAATCATACTGACACTCAGTTCCAATATGCTCCTTGCAGTTTCTGAGTTAAAAACAGAATGCAGCAGTAGGAGCCAACACCTACATGGTAGCTGACTGTCAATCAGACAGACAGACAGGCTCTGCAGAGCTCAGCAACAGGAAAGGATGTGGTCTGAAGTACACTCCAGCAAGCCTTAACTTCTACCAGCACCTTGTTTAAGCTGCATGCTTCCAAACACACAGCAGCTCAATATATGACACTCTGGGCCCCTCCTAACACAGTGCCGTTTAACCCAGCTCAGGCAACGGAACCTACACTTGCTCTGGGGCAAAAAACGAACTGTAAGGCAGCTAGAAATCCAGGCATCCTAACGTGCAGTGAAAATTTACATTCACACTTGGGTGCTCAGGCCCACCCCTGATACTTCCTGTAACCAGACACTCTCTGCTACAGATTCATGCCCCTCAAAAGAAAAGGGACTTTTTCATTTCATTGCTCAAACTACAGTAAAATCCTTGGATTTGAAGTCACCATGTGAGTGACAGTCAACTCCAAATTTCCGTCATCAAACAAGCTGCCAGTGCCCCGTCCTGGAGGTTTTTACAAGCCACAAGAACCTAAAAGCACCTCGATACTGAGCTATCAGGTCTGGTCTTCAAAGCACCCCACCCTTTGCCACCTTACATTCAACGTCCACAACCTTAAACTTCTCAAACACCATCGCCCCTTCCTCTCTGAGGGAGGCAACTTACATTTGCAACATGATTTGGTTCAAAAAGATGCCGTCCACTAAATCCATGTACATGGTCAGGTTGTCCTGGCTGCTGCTTCCAAAAGGGCCAAAAGTTTTCACCTGCGGGGAGGCGGAAAAGCAGAGAAGCAGGAAGTCACCCACGGCCACAAACGGCCTAACGCTCGGGGTTGGGGGGAGGAAAGGCGGGCTGGAATCGTAGGTGCAGAAAGGAGTCATCCATGCCCGCCGCACCAAGCCCACCCTTCTCCCAGCGACACTGTCCCCTCCCGCGCCAGGCAACAGTCGCGAGGCAGGAGGAGGAAAACTTCCCGGCCACTTTTCTCCAGCGTTCCAGAGCAGAAAAAAATTAATAAATAAAGAGGACTTTTCAATAAATTTCTCACGTCTCAGCTCCCTTAGAAAGCAGTGCGCCCACCCTCCGTTCCCACTCAGCGTCCCCCAGTCCCCATCCGTCATCGCCGTCCGCTGTCTGATCTCAGGGGTTCAGAAACTCCACGAAGATATCTTCCTGGGGAGTAGGGTCCATTTCCTGGGGACGGGGTGACCCTTCGGACCCCGTGAGCCGCCAGCCCAGCGCAGGGCGGGAACAGGTGTACCCACTCCGTCCCTGGCCCAGCCTGGGAGCGCGGCGGGGCGCGGGCTCCAGAGTTGGAAAGCATGCGGGCTGCAGGACGCGGACCCCGACCCCGGCCAGGAGCCACTTGCTGCGTCTACCGCGACCTCGGGGGTGGGGTGGGAGAAGGGGGAGGTGCACCCTGGAACCGGCGGGGCGGCGCCCCCAGTCCGGAGGACCAACAAAGGGGAGGTGGAGCGGGCGCACTCACCCAGGTCACCAGCGGGCTCTGCAGGAAGAGCTCCATGAGCTCCGAGACGGTCACGTCCATGCTGAGGCTACGCCGGCCGGCTGCGCGCCCCCCGCGTCCGCGTCTCCCCCTCCCACTCCCCCCGCGCCGCTGCACAAAGCGGCTCCGGCAGCGAGCGACCGGCGCGGGGCTGCGGCGGCTCGCGCCCGGGAAACAAAGGCGGGGCGCGCGAGCCCACGTTCCGCAGCTCCCGCGGCCGGGCGCCCCGCCCGGGCTGGGGAAGGGGAGGGACAATGCGGGCGCCCCGCCCCTCCGCAGCCCGGGACGACCGGTGCGCCGCCTCGCGGTGCCTGGCCCGGGGCCCGGGTGTCGGAGACTGCGCTGGGCGCGGGGAGGGGCGGGGCCGGCGTGGGCGGGGCCCCGCCGCACGCCCACGCCGAGCGTAGGCGGCCCTGCCCACGCGTGCGGGAGGGGGGGCAGCACGTGGTGTCCCGGCTCCCCTGCGGTCGCACGCACGCGAGAAGGCGCCACGTGCTGGCCAAGGTGCGCTGGCACCGGAGCACGCCTGGAGCTGGACGCCTGCCCCCACGAGGTCGCCCCTGACCTCTGCGCACTTGGGCACAGGTCCCCGGGCAGGTGCAGTGCCGAGACGCAGGCCCCAGGTTGCCCGTGGTGGAACAGCCACACTCGCGCCCCTCGTGCCTGTGTCCAGCGGGGAGACGCGCCGGGGCCAGGGATGCGGGGTTAGCTCAGGACAGGTGCGATTGCCTCCGGCCCCAAAGCAAAGAAGGAAACTTTATGTTGACCTTAGGCTGCAGGATTACGACCTCTTGCTTTCCACCCCTGCCACCTTTTGGGCTACCTGCCTTCTAGAAGTTCCTGTTGGAAGCCGGGGATGTGGCCCACCGAGTGGGCACCCCCCCCCCAGCTGTAACTGTACCCAGCCTCCACCGCCAAACCACCACCACTTTCCCTAGTGGAGAAGGGCAAATCCCAGCCCTCGGTGTATTGCAGCAGCTTAGTGACCCCCCAGAGGATGGAACTCAAGCCTTGGGACCGGAACTCCATGCTGACAGAACCCACGCTTCAGACCCCTACTTCCAGATCAGTCCCTGCCACCTCAGCACCGCCTGGTGATAATTTCACACCACGATCCAGTCATTGTTCAAAGCCCTGTAAGATTTAATGAATTTAATCCTCACGGTAACACGTTTCCCAGACCAGCCAAGAGTTTGCACCTGGCATTAACGCTTAGTAAGTATACAACAAGCATTCAATGGCTGCCGGTTTGCTCATAATTTTGGAAATTGGCTTTGTAAAGTACTGGCGCTGCGACACCTGCTGATGATATGTGGTATTACAGCCCAGTCTGCTTGGTGAGGGTTGAGATTGAGGCCCCAGAGGCCAAGAAGAGTTAGGGGTCCAAAGAGAAGTGTGGAAGTCAGATTAACAGAGAAGACAGTGGGAGAGTGCAGAGGAACGCCTTGGAGACCGCGTGGTTTCCTTGTAATTGCCCTTGAAGTAAGTTGGTTGGAAAATAGGATGCGTACCTACATCCATCTTTGCTTAAAACACCCCTGATCTGAAAGGTGAGGGGTGCCCGCGTGGCCAACGTTTTCTTTTGTTCACACTGACATGATTTTTGAGGGAAGATGAGGAAAGACCTTTAAAGTTACTTACCTGATCAGCATGCTCTTTCAGACTAAGAAATGCATTGGACAAAATGGCTGGTGATAGGTGTGAGGGGTTCCCATCCTGGTGTGGGACTTTCTCCGTGGGAACATTGGGGAAAAGTCCCCGGGCCACAGCCACCTCAGCATTTCTATTTTGGGGGTCAGTTAGCTGTGTTGGTTCTGGCCTCTTCCTTGGCTGATTCCCTCACCCAGGTCAAAGGGGTTTAACCCAAGCCCCCTCATTCCCTATGGACGGCTGGACAGGTGAACTGGATGGTGTCTGGGTTATGGATCGGGAGATTCAATCTGGAAGTCAGAGTATGCATGGATTTTACAAGGTAAATTTGAAGTTCAAGGTGGTGACTGTGTAAGGGGTGTGGAAACTATGAGCTTTGTAAAGATATTTAGTCACTTCCTCATCTCCTGGCTGCTTTAATAAGAATTATTTCCCCCAGAGTTGGCAGAGTGGCTCAAGTGGTATAGAGAGCACCTGCACGGCAAGCTCGAGTCCCTAAATTCAACCCTCAGTACCATCAGAAAAAAAAATTCCCTAAGCCTCCGTGGGGCCAGTGGCTTCAAGGAGCCAGTAAGTGGTATTCTCCATCCCCGTCCTTCCTTCCAGAGCACCTCATGGCTTTTGTTCCATCCATCTGTGCCTTGTCTCTTTTTTGTTTTTTGTACTGGAGAGTTAGTGTGAACTCAGGAATGCGAATGAACTAGGTTGGTGTTCTGCCTCTTAAACCTTGTCCCCAGTCCTAAGCCTTACCTCTTTAGTTTTATTTTTTTGTTGTTCATTTCTGTATATACACTTAGATTCTTGGAAAGAAGCAATATTTTATTTTTTTTTTATTTTTTTTTAAAGAAATATATATGTGGAGATATATACATATATACATATGTATATACACACATATTTATTTATTTATTTATTTTCTTTTATTATTCATATGTGCATACAAGGCTTGGTTCATTTCTCCCCCTGCCCCCACCCCCTCCACCCCCTCCCGCTCCCACCCCTCAATACCCAGCAGAAACTATTTTGCCCTTATCTCTAATTTTGTTGTAGAGAGAGTATAAGCAATAATAGGAAGGAACAAGGGGTTTTGCTGGTTGAGATGAGGATAGCTATACAGGGCATTGACTCACATTGATTTCCTGTGCGTGGTGTTACCTTCTAGGTTAATTCTTTTTGATCTAACCTTTTCTCTAGTTCCTGGTCCCCTTTTCCTATTGGCCTCAGTTGCTTTAAGGTATCTGCTTTAGTTTCTCTGCATTAAGGGCAACAAATGCTAGCTAGTTTTTTAGGTGTCTTACCTATCCTCACCCCTCCCTTGTGTGCTCTCGCTTTTATCATGTGCTCATAGTCCAATCCCTTGTTGTGTTTGCCCTTGATCTAATGTCCACATATGAGGGAGAACATACGATTTTTGGTCTTTTGGGCCAGGCTAACCTCACTCAGAATGATGTTCTCCAATTCCATCCATTTACCAGCGAATGATAACATTTCGTTCTTCTTCATGGCTGCATAAAATTCCATTGTGTATAGATACCACATTTTCTTAATCCATTCGTCAGTGCTGGGGCATCTTGGCTGTTTCCATAACTTGGCTATTGTGAATAGTGCCGCAATAAACATGGATGTGCAGGTGCCTCTGGAGTAACAGTCTTTTGGGTATATCCCCAAGAGTGGTATTGCTGGATCAAATGGTAGATCGATGTCCAGCTTTTTAAGTAGCCTCCAAATTTTTTTCCAGAGTGGTTGTACTAGTCTACATTCCCACCAACAGTGTAAGAGGGTTCCTTTTTCCCCGCATCCTCGCCAACACCTGTTGTTGGTGGTGTTGCTGATGATGGCTATTCTAACAGGGGTGAGGTGGAATCTTAGTGTGGTTTTAATTTGCATTTCCTTTATAAGAAGCAATATTTTAATTGTGTTCCTCATTCTGATAAAGGAATTTTCTCCTCCCTCTCAGGAAACATTGACTCGGCAATGTTAGCTAGTGGTTTTTCTATGTCACCTGATAGATTAAAATGTTTCTACAATTTCGGGGAAGGAGGGAGAGGCTATTTTTTTTGGGGGGGTGTGGGGGGACAGAGGGGACTGGGGTTTGAACTCAGGGCTTCACATTTGCAGACAAGCATTCTACCATTTTAACCACACCAGAGGGCCCCCCCAGGCTATTTTTAGATGTGTTTCTATTTGATAGTTGTTAAAATGAGTTGACATTATTTTTGTGATTTAAATATATATGTCTATGTACATAGGTTTGGAGTTGGGGTGGAGCAGTGGTGGGGATCAAACCCAGGGCCTTATGACTGTCAGGCAAGCATGCTACCACTCAGCTACATCCCTAGCCTCTAACAGTGGCTATGTAAAAGTTAAGTTCTCAGAAAATAACTTTATCTCTAAAAGTAAGTTGAATGGCCAGGTGCCGGTGGGTCACACCTGTAATCCTAGCTACTCAGGAGGCAGAGATCAGGAAGATCGCCAGTCCAGGAAAATAGTTTGAGAGACCCTATCTCGAAAAAAAACCTTCACAAATGAATAAATAAATAAGGGCTTGTTGAATTTAAGCCCCAGTACTGCAAAAAAAAAAAAAAAAAAAAAAAAAGAGATCAGGAGGATTGGGGTACAAAGCCAGCCTGGGCAAATAGTTTGCAAGACCCTATCTCACAAAAAACCATCACAAAAAAGGGCTGGCGGAGTGACTCAAAGTGTAGGCCTGAGTTCAAACCCCAGTACTGGAAAAAAAAAATTAAGTTGAGTGGATATTTGTGTCTTCTGGGTTAGTAATAAGTGTCTTTTCCTTTAAGTTATTAATTCTCAGTTGAACTCATTTAATTTTGCCACTTCACTTTGATATTTCAAACTTCAATTTAAACACAATTTTAAAGAATACATTTCTATATAAATCAGTGTAAAATAGTGAAACACACATATAAACAAGAGTGCATTCGGCATAAGGTGCCTTATGCTACTTGGGAGGCTGAGATAGGGAGGATAGAGGTTGGAGGCCAACCCAGGCAAATAGTTCAAGAGACCCCCATCTCCAATATAACCAAAGCAAAATGGACTGGAGGTGTGGCTCAGTGATAGAGCATCTGCTTTGCTAGTGCGAAGCCCTGAGTTCGAACCCCAGTCCTGCCAAAAGAAAAAAAGTATATTCATAATTTTATATTCTTCCACAGATTAGACATTTTAGAACATTCTTAAAATACTGCAGGTTAATAATGTGAAAGTAGAAATACAAGAAAGGATTTGGCGTCCTTTGGGGAGTAACACAGAAGAGAATATGTATGTTCATGCCCGGTCCTTACTCATAATGTTACACTGCCACTTTGGGGACAATTTCAACAAGCTGCTTCCATGAAGTTTTTTCACACATCGGAAATAATACACTAGCTGGTGGAGTGGCTCAAGTGATGGAGGTCCTGAGTTCAAACCCCTGTACCGCATTTATGGAAATAAAGATTTTCAGCCATTTTCTTCTTCCGGCTTCTCTCTCTAGAGCTGTATAAAA